ACGAGAAGCTGGATATGAGTCAACAGTGTGCTGTTGTTGCCAAGAAGGCTAACGGCATTTTGGGCTGTATAAGTAGGGGCATTGCCAGCAGATCGAGGAACGGGATCGTTCCCCTTTATTCAACATTGGTGAGGCCTTATCTGGAGTACTGTGTCCAGTTTTGGGCCCCACACTACAAGAAGGATGTGGAAAAATTGGAAAGAGTCCAGCGGAGGGCAACAAAAATGATTAGGGGTCTGGAGCACATGACTTATGAGGAGAGGCTGAGGGAACTGGGATTGTTTAATCTCCAGAAAAGAAGAATGGGGGGGGAGATTTGATAGCTGCTTTCAACTACCTGAAGTGGGGTTCCAAAGAGGATGGAGCTCGGCTGTTCTCAGTGGTGGCAGATGACAGAACAAGGAGCAATGGTCTCAAGTTGCAGTGGGGGAGGTCTAGGTTGGATATTAGATAACACTATTTCACTAGGAGGGTGGTGAAGCACTGGAATGCGTTACCTAGGGAGGTGGTGGAATCTCCTTCCTTGGAGTTTTTTCAGGCCCGGCTTGACAAAGCCCTGGCTGCAATGATTTAGTTGGGAATTGGTCCTGCTTTGAGCAGGGGGTTGGACTAGATGACCTCCTGAGGTCCCTTCCAACCCTGATATTCTATGATTCTATGATACTTCAGAGTTTTTCAATCTGTGGTCCGTGAGCCCCGGGTGTCTGCAGACTATGCCTAAGGGGTCAACAAAAGGTTGTCAACAAGGAGTCTGGTGGCACCTTAAAGACTAACAGATTTATTTGGGCATAAGCTTTCGTGAGTTAAAACCTCACTTCTTCGGATGCATAGAGTGAAAGTTACAGATGCAGGCATTATATACTGACACATGGAGAGCAGGGAGTTACTTCACAAGTGGAGAACCAGTGTTGAGAAAAGGTTGTCGTTACCATAGAACCATGGTTTTCAGCCTGTGGTCCATGAACCCCTGGGGGTCCACAGACTATGTCTGAAATTTCCAAAAGGGCCCCCACCTCCATTTGAAATATTTCAAGGTCCGCAAATGAAAAAAGGTTAAACCCCCCTGGCTTAGAGCGTGTTCATCGGAAGCGCTAGAGCAGCGCAGCTGCAATGGTGCAGCTGCGCTGATGCAAGTTTATAGTGTCGACCTGCCCTAAGACTCCAGTGTGTCTCTGACCTGTACAGGTGCAGGGGGCCTGGCCAATTCTTGCTGCTGAACATCAAGTCACTGGGAAGCCTGGGTTTGCAAGGTCCACAAATTATCCCAGAAGCAGAGTAAGGGATAGTTGATTGATGGCTGTGCTAAGATAACAAACGATATCTTCATTTCCCAGTCTTGTTGGTCTTCATCGACTCAGGCTGTAAGAATGGAACCAATGGTGTAATTTACTCTCTCCACTGCCCTTTTACCCACAGGATAGACAACACTGGTACTCACCTTGGTTATCTGGAGTTCTCAGCAAACCTCGTGTAGTAACCGTGATACAAATTCCTTCTCCTCATAACTGCAGACGCTGCCTGGTGGGATGAATTGCAACTCTACCTGTTTCATCAATGCAGTCATAGCTGTTTCAGTCCTTTCACTTTTCAGTCACTGCAGCACCACATGCTTTGGGAAAGTGTCAAACATGGTCAGCAACTACCAATTTCCAGCCAGTGTTGCTCATAATTGTTTTCAGCTTTGGGAAACTGGCCCACTGGCCCTCCCTGTCCCAGCTTCACCAGAATGGGCTGCTAGAAAGAGCCAGCCCTTTTCATCTGGCCTGCTGGGCCCTGACCTCTGTCTGCTCCCCATGCTTCTAGGTGACGAGGGACCAACTCTCGTTGATTGTGCCTGAAGCTGATTGTGGTAGACCGCTCAAGGCAACCCCTGGAGGTCTCAACTCACTGCTCTTCCCTTCCAGCAGGGCAGCCTGTTAGGGCAGGGTGTGCCGAAGTGCTGGGGCCTCCAGCAGGGGGCAACAAACATCTGGTACAACCCATCACTGCTGTCAGGGCATAGATTCATAGATTCTAGAAGTGGAAGAGACCTCGAGAGGTCATCGAGTCCAGTCCCCTGCCCTCATGGCAGGACCAAATACTGTCTAGACCATCCCTGATAGACATTTATCTAACCTACTCTTAAATATCTCCAGAGATGGAGATTCCACAACCTCCCTAGGCAATTTATTCCAGGGTTTAACCACCCTGACAGTTAGGAACTTTTTCCTAATGTCCAACCTAAACCTCCCTTCCTGCAGTTTAAGCCCATTGCTTCTTGTTCTATCCTTAGGTGCTAAAATAAACAAGTTTTCTCCCTCCTCCTTATGACACCCTTTTAGATACCTGAAAACTGCTACCATGTCCCCTCTCAGTCTTCTCTTTTCCAAACTAAACAAACCCAATTCTTTCAGCCTTCCTTCATGGGTCATGTTCTCTAGACCCTTAATCATTCTTGTTGCTCTTCTCTGGACCCTCTCCAATTTCTCCACATCTTTCTTGAAGTGTGGTGCCCAGAACTAGACAAAATACACCAGTTGAGGTCTAACCAGCTCAGAGTATAGCAGAAGAATGACTTCTCATGTCTTGCTCACAACACACCTTTTAATGCATCCCAGAATAATGTTTGCTTTTTTTGCAACAGCATCACACTGTTGACTCATATTTAGCTTGTGGTCCACTATAACCGCTAGATCCCTTTCTGCCGTACTCCTTCCTAGACTGTCTCTTCCCATTCTGTATGTGTGAAACTGGTTGTTTCTTCCTAAGTGGAGCACTTTGCATTTGTCTTTATTAAACTTCATCCTGTTTACCTCAGACCATTTCTCCAATTTGTTCAGATCATTTTGAATTATGACCCTATCCTCCAAAGCAGTTGCAATCACTCCCAGTTTGGTATCATCTGCAAACTTAATAAGCGTACTTTCTATGCCAATATCTAAGTCGTTGATGAAGATATTGAGCAGAGCCGGTCCCAAAACAGACCCCTGCGGAACCCCACTTGTTATACTTTTCCAGCAGGATTGTGAACCATTTATAACTACTCTCTGAGAATGGTTATCCAGCCAGTTATGCACCCACCTTATAGTAGCCCGATCTAAGTTGTATTTGCCTAGTTTATTGATAAGAATATAATGCGAGACTATTGTGACGGGTTGGATCTCAGAAACCCCCTTGGGAGCTGCCACCTAATGTACCAAGACTACTTCGATTCCTGTTTTCCCTGTTAGCTCAGGACTCCAGCACCCTGTCTTGCTGAGCCAGACACTCCCGTCTGCTCCGACACAGACCCAGGGTCTGAATTACTTGCTCCAAAGCTGCAAGTTTACCTGAAAGCAGCTCACAGAAGTGTGCTTGTCTTTAGCACTCAGATGCCCAACTCCCAATGGGGTCTAAACCCAAATAAATCTGTTTTACCCTTTATAAAGCTTATACAGGGTAAACTAATAAATTGTTAACCCTCTATAACACTGATAGAAAGATATGTACAGTTGTTTGCTTCCCCAGGTATTAATACATACTTTGAGTTAATTAATAAGTAAAAAGTGATTTTATTAAATACAGAAAGTGGGATTTAAGTGTTTCCAAGTGGTAACAGACAGAACAAAGTAAGTCACCAAAAAAAATAAAATAAAATGCACAAATCTATGTCTAATCAAACTGAATACAGATAATCTCACCCTCAGAGATGCTTCAGTAAGTTTTTTCTCAGACTGGACACCTTCCAGGCCTGGGCCCAATTCTTTCCCCTGGTACAGCTCTTGTTCCCGCTCAGGTGATAGCTAGGGGATTCTTCATGATGGCTCCTCTCCTCCTCTCTGTTCTGTCCCACCCCTTTACATCTTTTGCATAAGGCGGGAACCTTTTGTCCCTCTGGGTTTCTACCACCCCACACTGGAAAAGCACAAGGTTAAAGATGGATTCCAGTTCAAGTGACATGATCACATGTCACTGCAAGACTTCCTTACCCACTTGCCAGCACACAGGTATACAGGAAGACTCACAGGTAAAACACAGCCATCTTTAGACAATTGTCCTAGTTAATAGGAGTCATCAAGATTCCAAACCACCATTAATGGCCCACACTTTGCATAATTACAATAGGCCCTCAGAGTTATATTTTATATTTCTAGTTTTAGATACAAGAGTGGTGCATTTATACAAATACGATGATCACAGTCAGTAGATTATAAGCTTTGTAATGATACCTTACAAGAGACTTTTTGCATCAAGCATATTCCAGTTACATTATATTCACTTATTATCATGTTTTTATAAAACTATTCCAGTTACATTATATTCACTTATTATCATGTTTTTATAAAACCATATAGACTGCACAACGTCACAACCATATCAAATGCTTTAATAAGTTTTGTGTTTGCACATAGCCAGTATGCTCAGGTCCGGATCACTTGCGCCTCTGCACCTTCCCATTTGTAATTCTGTGATAAATTCTCCTTTATCCGTCAGTCTCCTTTAGGCCCAGCCCGAGTCAGGGGCCATACTTGTTGTGTTAGAAAATTATCACTGATCATTCTTAGAAACTCGAGGGATTGTTTTTCTCGTGGCAGCACGAGACCCCTGCAGGCTCCCATAGACTGATCCCCCAGAGCAACACAGAGTGTCTTTCTACACATTGCAGCGGGTATTCAAAGTGCTGTTCACCCTGGTCTTTGAGCTGGGGGGCGTTGCAGACTCCTCTTGCCATGGCTCAATGGGAACAGTGTTCCCTACACTTTCCATGTCCAGCACTGTTGAGTGCTCACTAACTGTAAAGCAATTCAGGGTGCCACCTCCCACTGCCATGGGCCCACTCTGCTCTTCCTAAATGAGGAGTGTTGCCCATTTGTTGCATTAGCCATAGTGGGGCCTTGATGGGTTTCTTTAAGAGGAGAAATTGATTACACAAGTCAAGTGTTTCTTTGGTGCGATCTCATTTATTTACAAAGTCCTGTTTCCCTGAACACAGTACAAAACAAAAAGCAGCCGGCATTTTCCTTTCTCTCAATTTCCAGAGTCTGCCTCTCCAGCCAGTCCTGTGTCTCAAGGCGCTACGTTCCCTGTGTCACTAGAGATCAGATGCACAGGAACCTCCCTGAGTGTTTATTTCCTTGGTTGTTTGCAGACTCAGGCATCTCAGAAGTGGCTCCGCTCCGACTGGTGAACGGCCCGAGTCGCTGCGCTGGGAGAGTCGAGGTGCTTCACAACCAGCTGTGGGGAACCGTGTGTGATGGCAGCTGGGACTTGTCTGAGGCTGAAGTCGTGTGCAGGCAGCTGGGCTGTGGGATGGCGTTATCAGCACCACGTGGGGCTCACTTTGGACAAGGATCTGACCGTGTGTGGCTGGATGAGGTTCAGTGCACAGGGGCAGAAGCTGCCCTCACCAAATGCATGGCTAAGCCTTGGGGAGAGCATGGCTGTAACCACGGAGAAGATGCCAGTGTTGTGTGCTCAGGTAACACCCAGGGCGGAAGGAGCCTTGCTGCTGGAAGTGGGGTGGGGGCTCTGCAGAGGGTGCTAACCCCTGGGAGTCAGCCTAGGTGTGTTGGTGTGTGTGTGTGTTTCGGGGTTTGTGTGTGATTGTCTCTGTACCTGTTTCTGGCAGTGTGTGTGTGTGTGTGTGTGTGTGTGTGTGAAGGGGTGTACACAGGACAGTCTATGGATATTTGCATACATGTGTGGCACTTAGGCTTGCCAACCCTCCCAGACTGCCCGGGAGTCTCCCAGAATCGGCCTCCATCTCCCAGAGGCTACTGAAACCAATCCGGGAGATTTTAGGTGCTAAAAGTCCAGCAGCGCAGCAGGGCTAAGGTAGGCAGCCTACCTGCCCTGGCTCCACATGGCTCCCAGAAGCGACCAGCATGTCCCTCTTGTTCCTAGGTGCAAGGGTGCCTAGGCGGTCTCTGCGCACTGCCCTGTCCTGAGTGCTGACTCTGCAGTTCCCATTGGCTGCAGTTCCCATCCCTCTCCTGCACTCCAACCGCCTGCCCCAGCCCTAAGCCCCCTCCCGCACCCAAACTCCCTCCCAAAGCCTGCACCCCACACCCTCTCCTGCACCCCAACCACCTGCCCCAACCGGATGAAAGTGAGGGTGGGGGAGAATGAGCGACGGAGGGAGGGAGGATGGAGTGAGCGGGGGCGGGGCCTCGGAGAAGGTGGCAGGGCAAGAGCGTTTGGGTTTCTGCGATTAGTTGGCAACCCTAATGGCAGTATGTATGCATGTGACAGTGTGTGTATTTGAGGCAATGTGTGTGTGTGCATAACGACGTATGGGGGTTGTGCATGGGACTCTGTGTATGTGTCTGCTTGTGAGGCAGCATGTGTATGGGGGAGTGCATGTGTGTGTGAGTGTGTGAGTGCGCGCACACATGCACACAGGTGGGATGAAATAGAAATGGCTCCTCTCTGCTCTGTGCAGACACACACACCCCATCTGCGTGCAGTACTGTGTATCCGGGCGCCTGGCGGCTGGGAACAGCCTCTCATGCCCTGTGCTTTGTGTTTCAGATCAGGGCCAGCTGAGGCTGCGGCTGATGAGTGGCCCAAGCCCCTGCTCCGGGCGAGTGGAGGTGCTGATTAACGACACCTGGGGTGCCGTGTGTGATTCCGGCTGGGGCCTGCCAGAGGCAGGGGTGGTGTGCAAGCAGCTGGGCTGCGGCATGGCGCTGTCAGCCCCGGGGGTTGCTCAGTTTGGCCACGGGGCCGACGACGTCTGGTTGAAGGGTGTGAGCTGCTCGGGCCAGGAGTCTCTCATCAGCGAGTGCCAGCTGAGCCGGCTGGGTCCCAGGCTGTGTGGCCGTGGCTCTGAGGCCAGCGTGGTGTGTGCTGGGCAGGCTGGTGAGTGCCCAGCTCCGTAGCCATGCCCATGTTTCTGCAGACACGGGGTGGGTGGGAGTGACACCCTGGCCGAGGTTACTGACTGTCCCAGAGGTTCCCACAGCCTTGGTCAGCCTGGGACACCACTCCTAGGTCTCTGAGCAGCCTCCTCCACCACAGGGCTCCCTCTCCTGCCAGCCCTCGGTCCTGTGCTGGAGTCTGCTACCCCTGCAGGCAGACCCAGAGCACAGATCTGGGGGGCAGAGAGCCTGTGGGGCCTGGGGGAGGAGTCTGGGGGCAGGGCCTGAGAAGGAGTCTGAGGGACAGGGCCTGTGGGAGAAACTGGGGAGAAGCCTCTGGGAGTTAGTTCCCCAACCCTCTCTATAACACATCCCCCTCCCTCGGACTCCTTGGGCTGGGAATGGTCCCTGGGGGCAGCCCAGCCCTGAGCCGCGTCCAGCACCCCAACTCCCTGCCCCAGCCCTGAGTCCCCTGCTGCACCCAAACTCCCTCCCAGATTCTGCATCCCCTCCTGCACCCCGGCCTGAGCCACCTTCTGCACCCAAACTCCCTCCAAGAGCCCACATCCCCTCCCACACCAACCCCCTGCCTCAGTCTGGTGAAAGTCAGTGAGGACTTGGGAGAGCGAGCAACGGGGCCGGGGTGGGGGCGGGTGATGGAGTGAGAAGGGTCGTGGCCTTGGGGAAGGAGCAGGGGACAGGTGTGGGGCAAGGGTGTTCGGGTTTATGTGATTAGGTAGTTGGCAACCCTACCCCTTAGCCACCCCCAGCGCAGGGCCCTGCACTGCCCCACACTCCACCCTCCTCCCCGGGGCCTGTGGCAGAGAGGGTGGGGTTGACCAGCCAAGGTTCTAAGGGCAAGGAACTCAATCCCGGGTGGGGCTGTGGGTTGGGGCAGGGAGGTGTCCTCAGGATGGGGGCTGTGGAGTGGGGGACAGAGTCAGACAAATAGGGACTGTGGGGAAGGAGAGGGAGTCAGCCGTGGGGGGGCCCATGGGGTGGGGACAGAGACAGGCCATGGGGAGTTATTGGGGAGGGGATGGAATCAGCCTTGGCAGGGGGCTCTGGGAGGGGAGAGAGTCAGTCTCAGGGGCTGTGGGGCAGAGGCAGGGGTCAGCCCCATGGTTGTGGCAGGTCCGTGGGGCAGGGGCATAGCTCACTGCCCGGCTCTCTCCACAGGCTCCGGGCTGCTCTGGTCTGTGCTCCTTGGCCTGGGTGCTGTCGTGGTACTGATCTGCGGGGTCCTGCTCTGCTGGAGGATGCGGCGGGACAGAGCCGCTGGGAACCCCCTGGGTAAGAGCCCTGAACCCGGAGCACAGCGCTGCAAGGAAGCGGGGCTGGGATGAGGGTTGCCCTCCTGACCCTGGAGTCCAGCCCCAGCTGGAACCCAGTGCCCCTGAGTGGCAGCCCAGTGCCTTGTCCAGCTGCCTGGGGACCTGCTGCTCTCACAGCTGCTGGGGACCCTGCTCTGGCTGCCACGCACAGGCCCAGTGTCCCAGCCTGCAGTTGCCCCGTCCCTACAGCCCTGCCCTGGCAGTGGTGTAGGGTTGCCAGGCATCCGGTCTTCGACCGGAACGCCCGTTCGAAAAACGACCATGGCAGATCCGGTCAATGGCGCAGTCGGGGTCCGGGACTATGGCAGGCTCCACACGCTGCCTCCGCCCCGAGTGCTGGCGCCACAGCTCTCATTGGCTGGGAACTGCAACCAATGGGAGCTGTGAGGGCGGTGCCTGCAGATGTGAAGGCAGCGCGCAGAGCCTCCCTAGCCGCCCATGCACCTAGGGGCCGCAAGGACCTGGGAGCCGCTTCCTGGGAGCCACAGTAAGCGGCGCAGGGACCTTGCACCCCTAACCCCCTCCCAGACCCTCACCCCTTGCTCCAACCTGAAGTCCCCTCTGACACACTCCCTCCTGGAGCCTGTCCCCCCCACACACATCCCAACCCCCTGCCCCAGCTCCCTCCTGCACCCCAAACTCCTCTTCTCCGCCCCTGCCATAGAGCCCACAGCCCCAGCCGGAGCCCTCACCTCCTCCCCCCTGTACCCAACCACCCTGCTCCAGTCAGGTGAAAGTGCATGAGGGTGGGGGAGAGTGAGCGATGGAGGGAGGGGGCATGGAGCGAGTGGGGGTGGGGCCTTTGAGAAGGGGAGGGGTAGGGGTGTTCAGCTTTGTGCGATTCAAAAGTTGGCAATCCTACGGTGGGGTCCCATTCACAAGGCGCCCTGGCACCTGGGTGAGGTGGGGCTGGGGGCAAAGGTCATTGGCCCGGGTGCTTCACCCTGTCCTCTTGCTTGCAGGCCATGTGCACCTGGAGGAGCTGGGGGCTCCAGGAACCCCGCCCCAGCTCCAGGGTGCGGCAAATCCAGAGCCCCCGGAGGACCCCGACAGCGAGATGACCTGGCTGGTGAGGGAAGATGTGGTGCTGTGAGAGCCGCATGCCAGCCAGGCTGGGCTGGTCTCCGCCTGCAGTGAGAGATGGGCCGGTGGGATCCTGCACAAAGCAGCCCCAGGGCTACCAGCTGCCTGGACTGTGGGGATGCTGATGGGGCTCATCTGGGGGCTGGGGGTCTCCACTCCCCCTGTGGGGCCCCTGGCACCATTGTCCCCCCAGCTAACTTGGAAGGCTCCCCTGCTCCGCCCCAGCCCCAGCTTTCCCTGGTGTAGTGTAAGCGGGGGAATGGTCCCGCTATTGTGGGGAACTTTCCTGGCTTCTGCACTACCCCGGTGAAGTGGGCTAGCGAAA